TTGTGCAAGAGACATCTGTGCCGTCTACCTATTACCCCGTCGACTCAACACCCACGTTAGTAATGGCTCCAGTTCTTGTGTGTAATGTTTTCTCCCTTTCTAGATTGTAAATTCCTGGATGAGGGAGAGAGGTCTAAGTCTTAATCCTTAAGTAAAGCACCAAATAGAAAATAGGCATTCAGGAAAACTATTAATTTTCCTTTTTCCCACTACTACTACTACTTGGTGGAAGGAAAAGGAGAGTGGGAAAGATGAAGACGAATATTTTCCTGAATGCTTACTTTGTATTTGGTGCTTTAGGGCTTCCTAGATGGCACAGTGGTAAATAATTTGTCTGCCAATGCAAGAGATGCAAGAGATACAGGTTTGATCCCTGGGTTGGGAAGATCCCCTGGAGAAGGAAATGGCAACCCACTACAGTATTCTTTCCTGGAGAATTCCATGGACAGAGGAGCCTAGTGGGCTACAGTCCTTGGGGTTGCAAAGAGTTGGACACGCCTAAGCATGCATGTATGCATGCTTTACTTAAAGAAGGGTAAAACAGACCTCTCCCAGCCCAGGAATTTACAGTCTTTCAGATGGGCAGGAAACACTGTATACACAGGAACTAGAACCACTATTAACCTGGGGGTTGAGTCAGTGGGGTAATAGGTAGACAGCACAGAGGTCAGTGTTTTCACTTTCTAACAATGAATAAACCTGACTGAAAGTGCTTTAAGAAGCAAGTGCCCTAATCCCTTTGCCCTCATTCAGGCTTCCTCCTGGGCAACCTTCCTCAGTGTCCTTGGTACACTCTCCCTTCAGGCCCACCCCATCACTTTTTCAAGTGGTGTTTTAATGATTACCAGTTAGATTGGTCTTTTCAGAATAGTCTTTTCCTGCACCAGCTCTCTATCACCTTAAGGAGTGTCAGAGTGTTTTCTCTTTGAAGGCTGCCCTGGGCCAATTGAGTGGAGTTAAGCAGCTTTCCTTTTCTCTAGTGAGCGAATGTGCCTTAATTCTACGCACTGGCCTCCCTCTTGACTTGTTAGCTGGAGTGAGTGAAGCAGACACACAGCACCTGGGGCAGTGCTGGGCAGCAGATACTCAGTCGCTGTTTGTTGAACTAGCTGAACCTGTCCCTCTCTCAGAGCCAGCTGGGTTGCATGGTAGAAATGACCGGGATTGGCTACCTTGGTCACCTGGTAGGCCTTTTCGATGGGAGTGAATTTTAGGATTTGGGAAACCACACACGATGTAATGGGGTCATTCCTTGAGCCTGGTATACAGATTGGAATTTTTGTTGCCTTTTCATTCCTTCTTTTATGTTCCTTAAAAATAATCTTTATTTGAATTGTGTAAGTCAATGGAATTATCACAGAATATTATAAAAATATAGAAGAACATAAATAAGAAAATGAAAATCGTCTATAATCCCAATACCCAGAAATAACCACAGTTAATATTTTGAAGATTTTTCCAGTTCTTTAAAAAAATGCACGGGGAGTGACTGCTAGTAGATATGGAGTTTCTTTTGGGGATGATGACAATGTTCTTGATAGTGTGATCCATGCACAACTTTGTGAATATACTAAAAAGCACCAAATTGTACACTTGAAAAGGGTGAACTTTGTGGTATGTGAATCATATCTCAATAAAGCTTTTATATTTAAAAAAAAAAACTTGTAGGTGCATACACATAGTATTGTTTGCTGAACTGAGAGGAAGTGCATATATTATGCTCCTTTGCTGCTAAATGTTTTCAGCCTATGTTTCCAAAGAATAAGAACATTCTCTTCCATAACTGCAATGCAGTGATCAAGCCATTCGCAGATTCCACCAGTTCTTCCAGTGACTTTCTTTACAGTAGTTTTTTTTTTCTTCCTTATCCAGGAGCCCATTTAAGATCATGTGTTCCTTTTGGTTGTAATGTCTCTAGTTTCCTTCAATCTGGAACAGCTCCTTAGTTTTTCCTTGATTTTCATGATACTGACATTTTTGAAGATTACAGGCTACGTTGTTTTGTAGAATGATCCTCAATTTAGATGTTTCCTCATGGTTAAATTCAGGTGGTGCATTTTTGGCAGCAGTGATGCTGAGAGCTTTTCTATGCCTTACATCAGGAGACCCACAATGACTGTCTGCCCCACAATTGGTGATGTTATCCTTTTTTTTTTTTTTTTTTTATGTTATCCTTAATTAAAGTTACCACTTTTTTTAAAGTGCTTTTAAGGAAAAGAATTTTACATCAACCAGAAGAAAAAGCTTTATCTAGGTTTTAGTGTTGTGTTGATGTTTGGAATGAGAAAGACAAAGTAACCTTTGAAGATTAAATAAAAAGGAAAAAAAAAATCAACCGAGGAAAAGGAGGGAGGAGCTCAGAGTTTAGGTTTCAGAAGATGGTACCATTCACGTAACCAGGGAACTCGAGGACAAGAGAACATTGAGAAGGCTGATAATGAGTCCACTTTTGGACCATTTGAGTGTGAAGTCCTGTGAAACTTCCAAATTAGGCAGGGGGCATCATGGATCTGGGCTGGCAAGAGAGCTCTTGGATGGAGGAGTCACCAGCCTGTAGCCCTGGGAGTGGATGAGTATCCAGGGAGAGGTGCAGAACACAAATGAAAGAGGCCCTGGAATAGAACTCTGTGCGGCTCTCGAGGGAGGGCCAGAGGAAGGTGGAGAGGCAAAGAGAGCTAAGCAAGTGGTCAGGAGTAGTCATGTGGAAGCCAATGAAAGAAAATATTTCAAGATGGAATGCAAACTGTATCTAATGGTCCCAGAGGGGTCAAGCAGGATAAAGATGTATCTGTTAGATTTGGATGCAGGTACATTCTCAGTGGCCTTGAAGGTGGAAGCTGCATGGTACTGGGCTCAGGAAAGTATGAGAGGAAAGAAACGGAGTGGAGCTGTTTTAAAAAGGTTGGTTGAGAAGAGGAGGTAGCTGGAGTTGGGAACATGTGAGAGGTTTAGACAATTTAAAATGCTGTGATAAAAAAATAATAATAATAAAATGCTGTGATAAAGGGGTAGTGGGAAGGAGAGTTGAAGAAATGGGAGGGGGGAATCAAGAGGGTATCCATGAGGGAGGAGGAGATAAAGCCTTTAGATCAAGAGTTCCAACTCAGACGTCTACAGGGCCAGGTTGGTAAAGCAGATGAGTGAGGTGGGCTGTGTGGACTAAGGGGAACTGCTGCTGCTGCTGCTAAGTCGCTTCAGTCGTGTCCGACTCTGTGTGACCCCATAGATGGCAGCCCACCAGGTTCCGCCGTCCCTGGGATTCTCCAGGCAAGAGTACTGGAGTGGGTTGCCATTTCCTTCTCCAGACTAAGGGGAAACAGAATGCAAAATCCTAAGGGCCTGTGGCCAGTTGTGAGGGTTGTCATCCAGTGTTAGCCATCGCCCCACGCTTTGCAGGGCCTGCATGTGGGAGGATTATACATCCTCACCCCCTCACCCCAGGGCTTGTTTTGGTCAACTGGATCTGACCAGATATGCCACATGCTAGGTCTGAGCTGAAGTTTTAGGAGTTGGTGCATGGTGCTCTCTGGCTTTTGCTTTTTTCCCCTCTGCAGTGAGAACGTTGTGTCCCCAGTAGGGGCTGTTCCTTCAGCCTGGGTGTTGGAATAAAGGTACATGAATCAGAGCTATTGCTAATCCAGTGTAAGCCATGAAAGAGAAATAAATCTCTGTTGTAAAGCAACGTTTGTTTGTTTGCTGTGCCACGGAGGCCTGGGGGATTTTAGTTCCCCAACCAGGGCACTCCTGCAGTGGAAGCACCAAGTCTTAACCCCTGGACTGCCAGGGAAGTCTCAAGGCAGTTGAGTTATGAATCCATTATTTATCACACCAAAACTAATACAGGAGTTCCACTAAAACTATATTAAGGTAATTTTTATTCCTATAGTTTAAAAAATTTGGAAGTTTGACAGCACAGTCTTATTGAGGCTGAGAACACAAGCTCTTTCATACATTTGGTATCACTTCCGTGGATGTTGGCAATGCTTACTGAGGTTACAAATGCAAGTAGCTGTAATCAAAAGGCAGGCAATAACAAGTCTGGCAAGGATGCGGAGAAATGCAAACCCTTAAAGTTAACTGTAAAGTTACTGTGTGTGTGTGTGTGTTCAGACGCTCAATTACGTATGACTCTGTGTGACCCTATGGACTGTAGTCTGCCAGGCTCCTCTGTCCGTGGGATTTTCCCAGGCAAGCATACTGGAGTGAGTTACCATTTCCTTCTCCAGGGGATCTTCCCGACGAAGGGATCAAACCCACATCTCCTGCAGCTCCTGCATTGGCAGAGGGATTCTTTACTGCTGAGCCACCAGGGAAGCCTGGAATATATATGCCAGACACTGAATAAATATTTAAGAAAGGGAGGGCTCCAGAGTGCAGGTGACAGAAAGAGTGAGTTTGGATGGCTTTTATTTGCTATGAGAAATTTGAAGTGAGAGGGAAACAGGGAGAAGATTGATGGGTCAGTCATTTGAGAGGAGTGGAAAATTTTGAAATAATAGCTCTAGAGACTTGGAGGTAGATCTGTCAATAGCAGAATCGTAATGTTGCCAGATCTGTCTGGTCAAGGCTATGGTTTTTCCAGTGGTCATTTATGGATGTGAGAGTTGGACTGTGAAGAAAGCTGAGCACTGAAAAATTGATGCTTTTGAACTATGGTGTTGGAGAAAACTCTTGAGAGTCCCTTGGACTGCAAGGAGATCCAACTAGTCCATCCTAAAGGAGATCAGTCCTGGGTGTTCATTAGAAGGACTGATGCTGAAGCTGAAACTCCAGTACTTTGGCCACCTCATGCGAAGAGTTGACTCATTGGAAAAGACCCTGCTGCTGGGAGGGATTGGGGGCAGGAGGAGAAGGGGACGACAGAGGATGAGATGGCTGGATGGCATCACCGACTCGATGGGCATGGGTTTGGGTAGACTCCGGGAGTTGGTGATGGACAGGGAGGCGTGGCGTGCTGCGATTCATAGGGTCGCAAAGAGTCGGACACGACTGAGCGACTGAACTGAACTGAACTGAATGTTGCCGGGCAGTGTTGTGTGTTCAGTTGAGTAGAGTCACTGCTGCTTTTTGCCTCTGAAGATGGTTACTGCCCTCATTACAGTCCTGGGAATTCCCTTCCCCTCTGTCCTGTGTTGGGCAAAATTTGATGTTGTCTGATTCTCTGTCCTTTGTCCATGACCTGCTTTGGGTGTGTTTGTTTAGTCTTCTCTCTGGAAGTCTTTGGATCCTCCATTGTTCTGAAACAGTATTATAGTCTGTCTTTCTGTTGGTCATTCAGTGGATCCTTTTGGTCTATCCTTCTGTTCTATAAAGTTTTTGTTTTTTAGAGTTTTTATTATTTTCCTCCTTTTTTCCTCCTTCTCTTTCTGTAACTTCTGTTAGTTGACTCTTGAGACTTTTGGTTTGATCTTCTAAAAGTTTTCTCTTTTACTGTCTATCTCCATATTTTATCTTTCTGTGTGATTTTCTTGACTTTGTCATTTCAGTTCTCATATTTTTAAAACTCTAGAGCTTCTGCTTCTCTGAGTACATATGACAGCAATCTATTTTTTCTTAATGGATTCAATATCTTCCTGAATTTTTGAAGTTTTCTTCTGCTTCCTGTGTTTCTCCTCTTCTACCAAATGCCTTTTTTCCAGTTTGTCTGGTTTTGTCTCTGTGGTTCACATTAGGGGCTTTCCTCAAATGTCCTGTAGTCCCTGACTGTGTCTGCTTTCATTTAAGAGTGAGGCACTAAGGCATATTGGAAGGCCCAAGTGCATATATAGGATGTATTTATTGACTTGTGAGTATCATTGACTAGGTGATTGGTCAAGGACTGAAAGAAGAGTCTCATTGAGGTCAATATCTCCAGAGAGGGAACACTGTAGTCTCCTGAAAGGTTTACCCCTGGCCTCTGATTCTGGACATTGGTTGGGAGAAAGGGGTTGACTTGATAGGTTACTTCCTCCTAATTTTCCTGTATTCATTACAGTGCTTCTTCCTTACCTCCTGCTGTGCTTGGCATCCTTAAGTCCCAGACTTTCAGTTTCTCTGCTTCCTGCTTCTTTGGAATCAGATGGAGGAGAGGGGAATCATTTGGATGAATGGGCAGGGGAGGAGAGTAAGGGTGTAAATGTTCCTTATAGAAATTTTCATCTAATTTTCATGTTTTTAGTTGTGCTCCCTCCAGTCTTCCAAGATACCTAGCGTTGTAAATTCCTGAGCCTTTCTGGGCCTTTGCCCTAATAATCACTTTACATCCCTCTGGCGTGGCCCCCTAGAGACTGACTTTGACTTTCTAGTCACCACTTCTCATCTGCTTTCTCTCCTCTATAGTTATTGACATTTCTCACCTCCTGTCTCTCATTTGTTTTATTCTTCATGATTTAAAATTCCACTGATGTAATTTTAGTGGGGTTTCAGGAAGGAGTAGTGGTAAACATATGTGTTTAATCTGCCATGTTTAATTGGAATGAGCACAGAGACCATGAATTTATAGCAAAACCAACTTGAATGTTTAGGTGGTTTTCACTAACAGAATCCACAGTCCGGGTGGATTTGGTAAGAAAAGGACTGGCCAGCTGGAGTGGGATTCTGCCAGGTGAGTTTGGTGGAAGGACTTTAGGGCTAGGGAGATGAGGATTTTGGACAAAGGGTGGTTGAAGCAACAGACTGTACAACCCCGGCTGTGTAAATAAAAGAAAGATACAAATGAGTCGATGGTTGGAGGAATTTATGAACTGGAGATCCCATGAAGTCAGAAAAACTTGTCAGTTTTCAAATGAACCCTACTTGGCACTTGCAGCATCTTCTCAGCCAGGGCTGAAAGCGCTCTCCCTAAGTTTATTCTTGTTTCTTGGCTTTGTTATTCTATTTTAAGGGTTAATGTCCCTCTTGCTTCGCCACTCCCCCGCCCCCGCTTGCTTTTTTTTAAAAATTTTTTATTTTTTTTCCATTTATTTTTATTAGTTGGAGGCTAATTACTTTACATCATTGCAGTGGTTTTTGTCATACATTGAAATGAATTAGCCATGGATTTACATGTATTCCCCATCCCAGTCCCCCCTCCCACCTCCCTCTCCACCCGATCCCTCTGGGTCTTCCCAGTGCACCAGGCCCGAGCACTTGTCTCATGCACCCAACCTGGGCTGGTGATCTGTTTCACCCTAGATAATATACATGTTTCAATGCTGTTCTCTTGAAACATCCCACCCTCGCCTTCTCCCAGAGTCCACAAGTCTGTTCTATACATCTGAGTCTCTTTTTCTGTTTTGCATATAGGGTTATCGTTACCATCTTTCTAAATTCCATATATATGTGTTAGTATACTGTAATGGTCTTTATCTTTCTGGCTTACTTCGCTCTGTATAATGGGCTCCAGTTTCATCCATCTCATTAGAACTGATTCAAATGAATTCTTTTTAATGGCTGAGTAATATTCCATGGTGTATATGTACCACAGCTTCCTCATCCATTCGTCTGCTGATGGGCATCTAGGTTGCTTCCATGTCCTGGCTATTATAAACAGTGCTGCGATGAACATTGGGGTGCACGTGTCTCTTTCAGATCTGGTTTCCTTGGTGTGTATGCCCAGAAGTGGGATTGCTGGGTCATATGGCAGTTCTATTTCCAGCTTTTTAAGAAATCTCCACACTGTTTTCCATAGTGGCTGTACTAATTTGCATTCCCACCAACAGTGTAAGAGGGTTCCCTTTTCTCCACACCCTCTCCAGCATTTATTGCTTGTAGACTTTTGGATAGCAGCCATCCTGACTGGCGTGTAATGGTACCTCATTGTGGTTTTGATTTGCATTTCTCTGATAATGAGTGATGTTGAGCATCTTTTCATGTGTTTGTTAGCCATCTGTATGTCTTCCTTGGAGAAATGTCTGTTTAGTTCTTTGGCCCATTTTTTGATTGGGTCATTTATTTTTCTGGAGTTGAGCTGGAGGAGTTGCTTGTATATTTTTGAGATTAATCCTTTGTCTGTTGCGTCATTTGCTATTATTTTCTCCCAGTCTGAGGGCTGTCTTTTCACCTTGCTTATAGTTTCCTTTGTTGTGCAAAAGCTTTTAAGTTTCATTAGGTCCCATTTGTTTATTTTTGCTTTTGTTCCCCACTTGCTTTTTAAAAGGAAGACTATGTATGGGCAAGGGCTGTTCCTCAGGTCCCCAAGACAGGATTCTGTATGGAATGTGAGGGTACGGATGCCTCATCTCCCCACTTACCCCTGGAGGAAACTGGGTGTTCAGAGCCCTTGCCTCAACTTTTCATTTCTTTTTTAAAAACTATTTTATTTATTTATTTTTTATTTTTGACGGTGCTGGGTCTTCATTGTGGTCCAGGCTTTTGTCTAGTTGCAGCAAGCAAGGGCTACTCTCTAGTTGCAGTGCTTGGGCTTCTCATTGCAGTGGCTTCTCTTGTTGCAGAGCACAGACTCTAGGACATGGGGTTTCCTTAGTTGCAGTTCCTGGGCTCTAAAGCACAGGCTCAGTAGTTGTGGCACATGGGCTTAGTTGCTCTGAGGCATGTGGGATCTTCCTGGATCAGGGATCAAACCAGTGTCTCCTGCATTGGCAGGCAGATTCTTTACCACTGAATCACCAGGGAAGCCCCCACCTTTCATTTCTGAGCAGTGACTTGGTCAGATCGATACAGAAGGGGACGGGTGGACAGAGCCACGTCTTCCATGCAGACCTCTCTTTAGAGCTTTGGAAAGAGCCCCCGTCCAGGCTGGTGTCTCCCTTTCTTCACCAGTCATTCCCTCCTTGCAGCCTGTTTTTCACCCTACTGGCCTGCTTGCCATATCCAATGGCTTGAGCTGATCAACACCATTAGATATCTTGGCGGTTCTCTGTTTGAAGCCCTTATTTCATAGAAACAGGCCCTGAGGTGTCCTCACTCTTGGCCCAGAGTTGTTTGCACCACAGCAAGCTCTGGCCAAGGGAGCCCTGTGTAAGGCTGTGGAGCATGGCAAATTAGGAGTGGGGGCTTCAAAGTCCAGACCCAACTCAAGATACATGCTGGCTGTGTGACCTGGACAGGTTATATCCATACTGTCTCTGAAATCTGTTACCTCATTTAAAAAAAAAAAATTTTATTGGAGTGTAGTTTGTTTATAATGTTGTGTTAGTTTCAGGTGTTCAGTTCATTCAGTCAGTTGTGTCCTATTCTTTGAGACCCATGGACTGCAGCATGCCAGGCTTCCTTGTCCATCACCAGCTCCCGGAGCTTGCTCAAACTCATGTCCATCAGTGATGCAATCCAATCATCTCATCCTCTGTCGTCCCCTTCTCCTCCTGCCTTCAGTCTTTCCCAGAATCAGGGTCTTTTCCAATGAGTCAGCTCTTCACACCAGGTGGCCAAAGTACTGGAGCTTCAGCTTCAGCATCAGTCCTTCTAATGAATATTCAGGACTGATTCCCTTTCGGATGGATTGGTTGGATCTCCTGGCTGTCCAAGGGACTCTCAAGAGTTTTCTCCAACACCACAGTTCAAAAGCATAAATTTTTCGGCACTCTTCTTTATGGTCCAGTTCTCACTTCTGTACATGACTCCTGGAAAAATCATAGCTTTGACTAGATGGACCTTTGTCGGTAATATAATGTCTTTGCTTTTTAATATGCTCTCCAGGTTTGTCATAGCTTTTCTTCCAGTTCTCCAGGCAAGAATACTGGAATGGGTTACCATTCCCTTCTCCAGGGGATATTTCCCACCCAGGAATCGAACCCGGGTCTCCTGCATCGCAGGCAGATTCTTTACCATCTGAGCCACCAGGGAAGCCCTAGTTTCAGGTGTATGGTGAAGTGAATCTTATCCATATACATATATTCACTCTTTTTTTAAAAAATAGGATTCTTTTTCCCATATAGGCCATTAGAGAGTATGAATAGTGTTCCCTGTGCTATTCAGAAGGTTATCATTAGTTATCTGTTTTATATATAGCTGTGTGTATATGGCAGCCCCAGTCTCACAGTTTATCCCTCCCCTGCCCCATTTCCTCATCTTTAAATGTGGGTCATAAACTTACCCTCAATGCTTGTGAAGATTAGACTAATGCATGTTAAGTTCAGAGTGAGGCATGTGGTGAATACTTCTATGGTGCCTATTTTTACTAGCCTCTGCACCTAAAACGCCCCATAAGGGAGCCAGAGTGAGCGCTTGATGAAGGATCGAGTCTCATTCTCAAGGCTGGCCTGCTGCTCTGGTTTCCCCAAACCCAATCTACTAGGGAGAAGTCTAAGCTGGTTCCTTGGGGTCCAGTAGCTTCTGACAATGGATTATGTCAGATCAGTCCACTTTGAGGTTGATCCCTCTTTTCCATGTTTTCTGGATCCTCTTGCCTCCTCATTTGGGGGGTTCCCTAGGCCTTGGTTTTGCCCCTCTCTCCCTGGCCATGTCTCTGAGCATTCTCTCCCTGGGGGGAATGGAGCCCATCATCAGGCTTTGGTTATACCCCAGCTCCCAAGGGTGCTTTTCATTCTCACATCTCATCAGAGCGCTGCACCTGACTTCCTCCCAAATGAGTGTTTTTAGCCCCAGTCCCTTGCACTTGGATGAGTATTTCCAAGAAATAACAATTTTGCTTTCCATCTAGCTTCCGCTTTGTGCATCACTGCTTTTTTTAGGGGCACTTTTCTTTTTCCTGGGGCTTCAAGCCCCAGGATCATCTTTGACCCTTCCCTCCCCTCCAGTGTAGATTCTGTAAGTGTTGAATTGAGTGTAAAGCGGCAAGTGGTTAAGCCTGCATGCTTCTCTCCCTGTCCTTTCCTACCCACACCTCCCTTGTTCACATGCGGGTCACCTCTTTCCTGGCTTACACCAATGGCCTGTTCATTCTTCCAGCTGCTACACGCTGGTCTTCTGAGCGCATCGTTTTCATCATGTTAACTCGCCACAAAATCTTTCAATGTCTTTCCATTTTCTGCAGATAAAATATAGATTCCCGGCCTGGCTGGCACTCAAGGGTCTCCATAACTCGTGCAGCCCTGCCTCTCTTGCCTTTCTCCCCATGATGTCCTTGCAGATCTTTCCAGTGGCCAGGTGCCTTCACTGACCCGAGAATCAGCCACACTCACCCCCAGTGTCAGCTTGTGGCCTTCCTCCCCTGGCCCTGCATGCCTTCCTTCCTCCTTTAAGACACAGCCCCAGTTCCCCTGCAGATCTTCCCCTGTCTTCAGCCTTCATCCTTCTCCTCTCCTCCGGAGGGGATCAGCATCTAGCCAGTGCCTCCTTCCCCGGCACCCTGGTGTGAACACAGTTGGTGCTCACTTCAGACGGCCACTCCCTGTTTCTTGAGCGGCTCAGCCTGCAAGGCACAGGACTCAACTTGCTTAGCGAACTGCTACCCTCAGTGTGCCCTGCTTTCTTCCTCCTCTTCAAAGGAGAGGACTTTAGAAATCAGGACAGTTCTGAGAAGACTCCAGGGGTTGGGACGAAAAGAGATTGGCCTCTGAAAGTGAAAGTCGCTCAGTCGTGTCCAACTCTTTGCGACCCCATGGACTGTAGAGTCCATGGAATTCTCCAGGCTAAAATACTGGAGTGGGTAGGCGTTCCCTTCTCTAGGGGATCTTCCCAACCCAAGGATTGAACTCAGGTCTTCAGCACTGCAGGCGGATTCTTTACCAGTTGAGCCACGTCTGAGGCCTGCCTAAACCATTTTACCTCCCTATTCTTGCTCCAGGTTGCTCCCCTCCTCAGCCTCTAGGGTCAGCTGCTGCAGTTTCCTGCCTCTGTCCCACTCCCCACTCTTACCTCTTAGCCTAGCAGCCCTTTCTCTGATCCCCTCTCCAGACCCTTTGATTCTCGGTGGGAAGTCAGATGTCCTGCTGGTTCTCCTCTCTGCTCCTCTCCAGCCTGAAGTGGAGGTGGCACGTGTTTCTGCCTTATATCTGCTCTCCTCCTTTCATCCTATCAGCTAACGATTATTCAGGAAACTTATCTCAACCTGTTGGCCCTGTCCCAAATCTTTAGGGCAAGGGTCACGAGAGTGAGGTCATGGTCACGTGACTGCTGCCTATACCTTGCCCCCTCTGCTCCGCTGGTCCTAACACTCTAAAAAGCCAACTGTGTCCCCTGCTTCCAGTTTATCTGGACAGAGACCTGAGCAGAAAGGTAAGCTTCTCATCTTTGCCTTCGGTGAACGGAGGCCACTGGATTCTATCTGCTCAGCACTAACCTCCTTTTTCTTTCCTGCCTGTCTCTGCTGCCTGTCTCCCTGGATACTCTCACTTGTCCTTACCTGTACAGTGAAGGCTGGGCCTTAGGCCCGTTCTGGAGTTGAAGAATGGGTTAGGTTAGGTCTCACTGGTTAGGTCTGGGTGGGGTCCACAGGCTGAGTAGGGAATAACTCCTGCTCTGCTCACAGATTTTCTCCTGATGGCTGACTCTCAACCTCTCCTCTCCCTTGATGGGGACCCTGTGGCTGCAGAAGCCTTGCTCCAGGATGTGTTTAGGATTGTGGTGGATGAGGTCATTCGAAAAGGGACCAATGCCTCCGAGAAGGTGGGTCTTTTCTCCCTCCTCCTCCTCCTGTCCATCAGACCTGACTCAGAGCTTTCCTCCTCTGTCCAGGCTTCTCCCCAGAACCCATTACCGCCTCATTGTGTGCCTCAGGGATTGCATACTGGATCAGACTGTGTTTATTTACCCTTGTTCACGTGCTGCTTGGAAAACATTCCAAACTGGTGTTGAGTGCCAGTTTGTGGTGTCTGTTGTCTGTTGAGATGTGGTTTGGGCAACCAGTCAGTTGGGTGCCTCAGTGCCCCGGAGTCTCCTGCTGCTCCTCCTAGGTCTGTGAGTGGAAGGAGCCCGAGGAGCTGAAGCAGCTGCTGGACTTGGAACTGCGGCACGAGGGCGAGTCACAGGAGCAGATCCTGGAGCACTGCCGGGCCGTGATCCGCTACAGCGTGAAGACCTGTGCGTCTGGGGCTTGGGGGAGGTGTGTCTGGAATTTGTGCCCAGCTCCACTCTGAGCCTGCGTCCCCCTTCTCCAGGTCACCCTCGTTTCTTCAACCAGCTCTTCTCAGGGTTGGATCCCCATGCGCTGGCCGGGCGCATTGTCACAGAGAGCCTCAACACCAGCCAGTGAGCCATCCCAGGACCCCCGCCCTCCACGCCACAAAGGATTTGGGTTTGTGGGAGACAGGCCCCGGGAGCAGGAGAGGAGAATGGTGTCTGCCCCCCTCTCTTTTTGAGGAATCTCTGCTGGCAGAGTCTTTCCCCTCCTACCCTTCGGGTTCCCTTTCCCCAACTTCATCTTGCATCCCGGCTCCAGTGTTGTCTCATTCTTTCTTTCCTGGTTCTCTGTCACCAACTCAGTTTTCTCTTTAGTCCCTCCTTTCACTCACACTCTCCACCTCCTCTGAGAGTCCCTCCCAGTCTCTTTCCCTTTCTCATCATTCCCTCTCCTGGCAGGTACACGTACGAAATCGCCCCTGTGTTTGTCCTCATGGAGGAGGAAGTGCTGAAGAAACTCCGGGCCCTGGTGGGCTGGAGTTCTGGGGACGGGGTCTTCTGCCCTGGTATGTGAAGAGGAGGGGGCCTTTTCAAGAGTTCCTCCTCCCCCACCATCCTTGTTCTCTGGGCTGGCCAGGAGGGGTGATTCTCCTTTGTTTCTTCTCCAACTGGGCTGGGGCCAAACCAGAGAGAAGCTGCCCAGTCCCCTGTATCCTCATGTTTGCCAAACAGTCCATGGGATTGGTGCCTGCTGTCCTGGTGGGGAAGTGGGGGTGGAGGGTGGATCCTGGATCGGCCCAGGGTGAGGAGCAGGGGTAATCAGGAGATCTGCAGATCCTGCCATTCTGGGTCACCAGCATGCCATTTTTCAAGTTCCTCGGACCCCCTGGCCAGGTAGCCAGTCACTTGTGCTTCTGGGTGGAGAGTTCAGGAGAGCCAAGCTCCAGTTTTGACCCACTGCCACTTCCTCTTGCCACCACCCATTCTTTCCCTGTGACAGGTGGCTCCATCTCCAACATGTATGCTCTGAACCTGGCCCGCTATCAGCGATACCCAGACTGCAAACAGAGGGGCCTCCGGGCACTGCCACCCTTGGCCCTCTTCACATCGAAAGAGGTGGGAAGGGCACAGGCCTACCCTGGGCTCCCGATTCTAATCTCCAGCCAGCTGAGTCTGGGACCCGCGACTCAGCCTGCCCAGACCCTTCTCCTCCGAGGCTGGCCTCCCCCATAGGCGGATGTGCCTCCTTCCAACCAGAGGGGCTGTGTAAGGGCCCTTTTTCACTGCCTGCTGTCTGGGGTAGCGGAGGGGGCATCCAGTGCAGTGTACACAGTCCACACCCTTTTTCCTGAGAGTGTGGACCAGTGGCATCACTATCACACTTCTTCTTGTTTAGTCACTAAGTCATGTCCGACTCTTTGCAACCCTGTGGACTGTAGCCTGCAGGCTCCTGTGTCCGTGGGATTTTTCAGGCAAGAATACTGGAGTGGGTTGCCATTTCCTTCTCCAGGGGATCTTTCCCACACAGGGATTGGACCCATGTCTCCTGCATTGCAGGCATATTCTTTACCACTGAGCCACCGGGGAAGATGAGTATCACTTGGGAGCTTGTTAGAAATGCAGAATCTTTGGCTCCTGTGCAAACCTACTGAATATGAATCTGCATCTTTACCAGACACACTGGTGATTTGTAGGCATGTGAATGTTTGAGCAGCCCTGGTCTACAGGGTCTCAGCCATTTAACCAGTCTTTTTCTTTCCCACCCTCCCTGCCCTCTTCCTTTGCCCACAGTGTCATTATTCCATCAAGAAAGGAGCTGCTTTTCTGGGACTTGGCACCGACAGTGTCCGAATGGTCAAGGCAGATGAGAGGTGAAGGTCCTTATGTCTGCGTGGCTCAGACCCAGCCTGGCACAACATGCCTTCCCCTTGCCAGAGGCTCTGGCCGTGGGCCCACGCCGCGGCCGACGTCTCTCCCTGCTCTCTTCCCTCCGAGTTGCCTCTCCTGTCTCCCAGTGCCTGCTAGAGTCTCCGCCCTGTCCCCTGAGATCTGTTTACCCCTCTTAGGGAAAAGTCAACATTGTGGCCTCCCCATTGCTAACCACATGTTACCCTGCTCTTGAAAGTTCTGCCGCCTAGCCTAGAGAATCTATTACTTCTCTACCCACTCAGTTTTCTTTTCCAGAGGGAAAATGATCCCTGAGGATCTGGAGAGGCAGATCAGCTTGGCCAAGGCCGAGGTAGGTGAGTGAGAGGTGCCCGGGCAGTGGAGCCGGGCCCCTCTGTCCCTTCCTTGGAGGGGTCTTTGACTGGCCCTGCTCAAGGCTCCCCTCGTCTCTCCCCCTGTGCCCTGTGCCTGTCTTCCCTGGTGGGCTGAAGTGATCCCTCCCGAGTGAGTGTTCCCAGTCCTGCCGAGACCCACGAGCAGAATCAGACCCTGGGACAAGGGCAGAACTGAGTCCCTGAGTAGAGTCCCAGGGGGCACTGCAGGGAGGATGTTGGGGACCTGGAGGGTAGCGCAGAAGGTTTCTGTGAGTTGGGAGGGTCTGTGCAGCGTGGACTTGGAGTAATGGGAGATGTGGAGGCCCCTTCACCCAGGGGACGCAGAAGTGCTGCAGCCATCTTAGAGGGCATTTCAGCACTGTCTGTACCATTTTTAAATACATCTATCCATTGACTCAGAGTCCTTCTACTAGGATTAGCCTGTAAATTTTCATTACAACTGCTTAGAATTGTGTGCGCTGGGGCAAAGTATAAAATTAAAAAAAAAATTTTAGTATTCATCAATAGATAAATTATGGTGTTATCTGTGTCAGTTTCTTCCTTTGTAAAATGAGCATGATATAGAACTGATCACAGAGTTGTTATAAGGCTGAAATTAATAGTATGTAAAGCACTTGGAACACTGAAGCAGTATATACATTAGCTGCCATTGTTGTTACAGTTATTGTTAGAGTAGCATGTAGCCATTTAAAAGAATAAGATGGGAATATATGTATTAACATAAAAATGCCTCAACTATGTACTTAAGTATAAATTTTAAAAATATGTTTATATCGCCACATGCAAATGGTTGCAGCACCACTTTTTTTTAACTTTTTATTTTGTATTGGGGTATAGCCAGTTAACAATGTTGTGATAGTTTCAGGTGAATAGCAAAGGGATTTAGCCATACAGATACATGTATCCATTCTCCCCCAAACTCCTCTCCTGTCCATGCTGCCACTTAGCATAGAGCAGAGTTCAGTTAGTCCTTGTTGGTTATTGATTTTAAATACAGCTGTGTGCACATGTCCATCCCAAACTCTCATCCTCCTTCTCCCATCCCTGGAAACCATAAGTTTGTTCTCTGTGAGTCTCTTTCTGTTTTGTATCTTCATTTGTATCATCTCTTTTTAGATTCCTCATATAAGGGATGTCATAGGGTATTTCTTCTTCTCTGTCTGACTTACTTCATTCAGTATGACAATCTCTGGGTCCGTCCATGTTGTTGCAAGTGGCAGTATTTCATTCTTTTTAATGGCTGAGTAATATTCCATTGTATGTGTGTATCACATTTTCTTTATCCATTCCTCTGTCGATAGACATTTAGGTTGCTTCCATGTCTTGGCTATTGTAAACAGTGTGCAGCAGTTTTTGAAAATGTCTGTTTTCCCCAGCGAATTGTCTTGGCATCCTTGTTAAAACCCAATGAGGGTTTAAGTGTGAGGATTTATTTCTAGACTCTCGGTCTATTCCATTGATCTGCATGGCTATCCTATAGACCACACTGTCTTAATGTAGCTTTGTAGTACATTTTGAAATCAGCATTTGTGAGTCCTCCAACTTTGTTCTTTTTCAGGATGGTTTTGGCTTTCTAGGTCCCTTAAATTTCCACTTGAATTTTAGGCTCAGTTTGTCAATTTCTGCAAAGGAACCAGTTGGGATTTTGATAGGAATGTGTTCAATTTGTGGATCCATGAACATGGAATGTCTCTGTTTATTTAGGTCTTCTTTGATTTCTTTTCAACAGTGCTTTGTAATTTTCACAGTATATGTTTTGCATTTCTTTTATTGAATTTATTCCTAAGTATTTTATTATTTTCAGTGTTCTTATAAATGAAATTTTCTTGTTTTCTATTTTTGATTGTTCGTTTCTAATGTGTAAAAATACAACTGATTTTTGAATACTGATCTTGTACTCTGCAAATTTGCTGAACTCATTTATTAATTCTCAGTCTTTTCAAGGAGTTCCTTAGGATTTTCTAGATAAAATATGTTATCTGTAAATACAGGTAATTTGCTTTTTTTCCTTTTTAATATGGATGCCTCTTATTTATTTATTTTTATTTTTTTCATTTATTTTTATTAGTTGGAGGCTAATTACCTTACAGGATGCCTCTTATTTAAAAAAAACTTTTTTCTCTTTACTCACAAACTAGACAAGATCGGCATTAAGAGTATTTTATTTAATTGGCCATGTCGGATCTTTGTTGCGGTTCAAGGGTTCCTCTCTAGTTGTGGCACAGGAGCTGTAGAGAATGTGGGCTCAGTGGGCGCAGTAGTTACAGGGCACTGACTTCATTGCCTGTGGCATCTGGGATCTTAGTTCCTGGGCCAGGGAACCCATGTCCCCTGCATTGGAAGGCAGATTCTTAGCGACTGGAACACCAGGAAAGTCCCTGGATGACTCTTATTTTTTTTTTTACCTAATTGCCCTGCTAGAACCTCAGCACAGTGTTGGATAGAAATGAGGAGAGTGGACATCCTTATCTTGTTCCTGGTCTTAGGGGGAAGGCTTTCAGTCTTTCACCATTGAGATGATGTTAGCTGTGGGGTTTTTGGTAGTTGCCCTTTATCAGGTTAAGAAGATTCCCTTCAAATCCTTTTTTTTTTCCCTTGAATGTTTTTATCATGAGGATTTTGTCAAATGTTTTTGTATGTCTACTGAGATGATCACTATGCCACATTGAGATGTGGGTTTTTTTTGTTTTCTTTTATTGAATGGCTATATTACATTAATTGGTTTTTGGATGTTAAACCAAACTTGCACTCTTGGGACAAATCCCACTTTGTCATGGTATATGATTCTTTTTCTCTGTTGCTGATTTTGGCTTGCTAAGGTTTTGTAGATTTTTATGTCTTTATTTAGATGAGATATATTCTATATTTTTCTTGTGATATTTTGTCGATTTTGGTATCAGGGTAAAACTCATTTCATAGGGTGAATTCAGAAGTGTTCCCTCCTCTTCTGTTTTTTTGTAAGTTAATGAAGAGCTGGTGTCAGTTCTTTCATAAATGTTTTGTAGAATTAACTCATCAGTGAAGCCATCTGGGCCTGCACTTTTCTTTGTAGTAGTTTTTTGAATACTAATTCAATTTCCTCATAAATTGTATACTATTAGAATAGTTAAAATAGTATTTTGATCTTCCAGTGAGGCATTCAACTTTTTTGAAAGAGTGTAAGCTGTGGAGATAGACTATCAGACAGACCTAGGTTTGAATTCCATCTCTGGAGTTTCAGCTCGAGGGCAAGTTTCTTAACACCTCTGAACCCTCATGTCCTCACTTGCAAATTACAAGGGGCAGTAACACATAGTAAGGTTGCCAGGGCCCAGGTCAGGCCTGTGAAGAGTTCATAGATCTCAGCACCAGGCTCTGGATAGCTCTCCAGATGAGTTCTCAGCCTTGGTCTCCCTCTTCATTTTTGCCACAGGGTGCTGTGCCATTCCTGGTCAGTGCCACCTCTGGTACTACCGTGCTGGGGGCCTTTGACCCCCTGGAGGCGATCGCGGATGTGTGCCAGCATCATGGGCTATGGCTGCACGTGGATGTGAGTTGGGACGGGCCTGAGAATGGGCTGGGCTGAGCCAAGGCCAAGGCCCATATTGTTCCTTCTGCTCCACAGGCTGCCTGGGGTGGGAGCGTCCTGCTGTCACAGACACATAGACATCTCCTGGCTGGGATCCAGAGGTGCATATGGCCCCCTTCACCCTGACTGTCACCCTTCAAATCCTTGATCCAGAGAACACTCTTGGACAGGGGAGCACAGATGGGAATAGGGGAAGGAGGCTGGTGGGAGGGAAGTGGGAGAGATGATTGGGGCTGGGAAGTTAGACATCAGATTTGGGAATTCTCCTCTGGACTGAGATGAGACCAAAGCCCCTTTTACTGGAGATCTGGAAAAGGTGGGGGGCGGGGGGCCTCTAGTTGGGCAGCTCGACTGGGAGCTGTCTGACCCTGCTTTGCTCTGTCCACCCCAGGGCTGACTCTGTGGCCTGGAATCCCCACAAGCTCCTCTCCGCAGGCCTGCAGTGCTCAGCTCTTCTTCTCCGGGACACCTCGGTGGGTCTTCCCCCGCCCTGCTCTGGCCCCCTCCCACCCTGGACCTCCGTTTTCTCTTGTGTCTCACATGAGGGGAGCTCCAGGCCTTACCATGTTCTCCTTACCATCCCATCTGATGCTGAATATATCTGACCACCCTAATCCCGGGTAATGGGCTGTTTCACTCCCCCTGTCTTCAGGCAAAGGAAAAACTTCCCAACATAAATTGTAATCAGAGGGATCCTGAGTCATTTGGGAAGAACTCTTTTGACTGTTGGAAGAAAACCCAGAGAAAGGGTTTCAGTCTGCCGGCAGCCATCCCATCAGTGCTGCCTGGTTCCAGGGAAAGAAACACGTGGACTGAGCTAAGAAATCAGCCAGTGCAGCCCTGGAGGGAATCTCGGTGGGGTGGTGAGGCTGACTGTGCCCCCGCCCTCCGCAGAACCTGCTCAAGCGCTGTCACGGGTCCCAGGCCAGCTACCTCTTCCAGCAGGACAAGTTCTACGACGTGGCTCTGGACACCGGAGACAAGGTGGTGCAGTGTGGCCGCCGCGTGGACTGTCTGAAGCTGTGGCTCATGTGGAAGGCACAGGGCGGGCAGGGGCTGGAGCGCCGTGTGGACCAGGCCTTTGCCCTTGCCCGGTAGGAGTGGGGGCTACAGCCCCGCACCCCTTTCCTGCTCTGTGTTCTCTTGGTTCACTCTCTGGGTCGCTTCTGTTTCTGCCTTTCCTCCTCCACCCGTGACTTCTCACTCTCTGATCACAGGTACCTGGTGGAGGAGCTGAAGAAGCGGGAGGGATTTGAGTTGGTCATGGAGGTATGACCCACCTTGTGCTCTTCCGCGTCCTCCGGCCCCCTGCCCCCAGCCTGTGTCTCACGCAAAACCCTGATGGGAGAAGAGGGGCGGTGAGAGGGGCACGGTCCCTCTTCCTCTGCTGACACCTTCCCCCTGTTTATTCCTCCCAGCCTGAATTTGTCAATGTGTGTTTCTGGTTCGTGCCCCCCAGTCTACGGGGGAAGAAGGAGAGTCCAGATTACAGTGAAAGGCTGTCTAAGGTAGGCTTTCGCCCCGCTCTGGTTAACCAGCTGGTGCGTTTCCGCCCCCTGCTGGCTGTGAGCGGCATGGCAGCTACCTTTGCTACTCTTGCTCTGAGTGGGGACAGTGAACCAGAAGGTGACACCCGCTTGTCCCCATTTCTGTGAGCCTGGGGGATGGAGAATAAGGTATGCTTCTATAAAGTAAGAAGAAGACAGAGAGGGGCATTACAGAAGTCACCACTGTGCAGTACATAGATTGGCTGTGTGGGGCGTTCTGGGAGCTGAGTGAGGCAGAAAGGTCTCAGAAGTTTTACTCACTGATGCTGGGAACAGAACAAGCCTGTAAGGCCAGGCAATATGTCCTGGCCCCTAAGGTTAGATCGGTACTAGGGGCGGCAGATGATCCAAAAGGACAAGAATATTCTCACCCTTAAAGTGAAGTCGCTCAGGTGTGTCTGACTCTCTACGACCCTATGGACTGTAGCCCTGCAGGCTCCTCCGTCCATGGGGTTTTCCAGGCAAGAATACTGGAGTGGGTTGGCATTTTCTTCTCCAGGGGATCTTCCTGACCCAGGGATCAAACAGGCCTCCCACATTGAGGGCAGACTCTTTACCATCTGAGCCCACCAGGGAATCTCACCCTTAAGGAGTCATTCATTTAGAAAACAAGCATTACCTATTTGAAACCAGTGTGTTCAAGGCAGTCTTGAAAATTATATATTAGATCACAGGGTACAGATCAAAAATGTTACAGGAATTCAGAGAGGGGAGAAGAAGGTGTCAAGGATGACGAAGGCTTGAAGTTAGACTGAAAAAGCGGTTGTTGAGATTCAGTGAAAAGTCAGGATTTAGCAGAAAATGGCCCGTGTGACAACTTGGAGAATGGTGAGGTGGAGGAGAATGCAGGAGGTAGAGAAGGTCCAGTGGGCCAGGTATGGTGGCAAAGGTATACTGGGGCCATGGTCAGAATCCAAGCAGTGAGTCGCTGTCTCTGGAAGGCAGCTAGGTAGAGAGAGATGCAAGTCGGGGAACCCATCCCTTCCCCTGACCCCAGGCTGCAGCTATAGGGTCCCTCCACTCCTCCTGTAGGTAGCCCCAATCCTCAAGGAGCGCATGGTGAGGAAGGGTTCCATGATGATTGGCTACCAGCCCCATGGTCCCCTGAGCAACTTCTTCCGCATGGTCGTGGCCAACCCTGCGCTGACACGGGCTGATATGGACTTCCTGCTGAACGAGCTGGAATGGCTGGGCCAGGACCTCTGAGTCGTTCCATCTTGCTGCTGGCCTGGACCCCTCTCCCAACCCTCACCATCTCCCTGTATCTTCTCCCTATGTTCTCAAGAAGAAACTCTCTAGGAAACAAAGCTGTCTTCATTTTTATGTGCTTTGACCCACTGGCTCGCCTGTAAATTTTGGGCTGGCCAAAAAGTTGGTTCTGGTTTTTTCTCATAACATCTTATGGAAAAACCCAAATGAACTTTTTGGCCAACCGAATATTTGATATTAAGAGGCTGTTTAAATAAATGGTAGGATATCTGTATTGTAGAATATTACTCTGCCATTTAAATTGTATTTACAAAGAGGACTTTTGTAGATAGGAGAAAAATAATTTTAATACAATGTTATGTTGAGAAAGCTGGATAAGACTGTATATATGGTACTATCTGACCTGTATTCAAAAGACTGATGAGATGGAATATGCCAAAATATTAATAGTTTACCTGGGATGGGGTTATAAGCAGTTTGAAAATGAACTTCTTTATGCTTTTTGTTCTCCCCCCCTTTTATGATACAATGAATATCTATTACTTTTATAATAGGAAAATAATAAAAGTTAAATTTTCAGCCATATTATTTAGGTATATTGTAAAGTTTGTTACCTTTCAACAAAATAGTGGGGAATGCAAATTCATTAAAAAGGTATAATAGAGGCTAAAAATAGGGGGAAATTTTCCCAGAAATCTTGAATGGGAGGAGAAAGACCAAAAGTGGAGTTGCTCTGAAGCAATTGTACTTTAATGACACTGAAAACAAAATGGGCACTGATTGTATCTTGAGACCAGAACCTTGTCCACTAATCTCTCTTGAAAAAAATCTTCGCATACACCAAAAAGGTAAGAATCTTCCTTTTCTAATTTAAACAACAGAAACCAAGTTGGGAAAAAAAAAAAAACCCAGCGACAAAACCAGCCACTGTTATGTCTTCTATTATTGCTATTTTCTTACATAAAAACATCCATTTAACACTTAAAATCCTAGGCTGGTGTTGCTTCTCAGTCACTTTTTTGTAAAGCAGCATTTAGCTACACAAGTTATTCAGGACAAGTGGCAAGTCTTCCAGAACTTTCTGTTATTTCCAATTCCTAAAAATACCATTTATGAAAACAATAACGTGGTCATGTAAAAGTCATCCAAAATTATTTGAAGAGGCAAATACAGACTGTACAAACCATAGTTAAAAAACATCCAAATCTCAAACCCAATTCTCTTGACCATTTGGGGGAAAAAAGATTTTCTATTCATAAATTACTAATAATTTCCCTATAAACTTGTTATTTTTATTATAAATGATATCTAATTTCTTCCAAATAATAAATTTGTTTTAAGAGTACTAGTAATCTGAGCTCCAAGCCCTAATCTTTAAGAGTTATTTATCTGAAAAATGTCTTAAACATTGTAAAAGCAAACTAAAAAAATCCCTGTTTTTCAACTCAAAGCAAAACCAGAAAGCAAAAAAAAACCAAAAAATCTTCAAATTTCTTGACTCACCTCCATCAGCAAAGTATTTTTTAAGGCTAGAAAGACTGGACATAAAATCAGTCACATATTTTTCTCCAGCTTTATGAAACTGATTCTTATTTCCTCCATTCCCAAAATTCAACCTCAAAATCTCTGGATACAATATGGTAACCTGTTTCTTTCTTCTTCTCCCATCCACAGTTACTGAGCTCCCACTGTGTTGTAATTCTTTCCCTGCCTTCCAAGAGCCCTCCTAAGATTGAAGCAGTCATTCCTCAACTGAGGCCTGTCCCTGCTCCAGGGCCTTTGCACTGCTGTCCCCTTTGGCCTCCGTGTTCACCCGTCTACGTGGTTCTTGCTCCCTGATTGCCTTTAGATTTTTGTTCAGATGTTATATTCTTAGTGAAGCCTTCCTTGAATTCTTGATTTGAAATTACAGTTTCACCCTCTATTCTTTTATCTGCCCTGTTTTTCTCCATAGCATGTATAAGCATCTGGCATACACTAATTAATTAATTAACTCATTTACTTACTTCCCCTGACCTGGCAACACCTCTGTCCCCGTGGGTCTCACCCAACTGGAATGTCAGCTCTGGGAGCAGAGATTTTGTGTCACTGCCTCCCAGACTGGAGTCTGGTACTTCCTAGGTGGGTAATGTTGAGTGAGTGTTTAATGAACTCCAGGTACTAGTTGACTTGCTCTCAGTCACATAACTTTTTTTTTTTTTTTTAATTTATTTGACTGTGTGGGGTATTAGTTGTGGCATGTGGGATCTAGTTCCCTCACCAGGGATTGAACCCAGGCCCCCTACATTGGGAGCTTAGACCTTACCTACTGGACCACCAGAGAAGTCCCCAGCCACGTAACTTTTAAGTCAAAGATAAATTCAGACCATCTTCCTCTGGCTCTGAACTGTGGGTCTAGTCTGCTTCCGATGACAGGTTTATGTAATTCATAGGTGTATGTGTGTCAGGGCTGTTTTATTAACCCTGTGCCATGGATCTACTGCTTGTGGGGAAGGATGAAGGCATCTGCAGGTTTGGTCCCTCACCTTGGCCTTGGCCTTGGCCTCAAGAAATCATATTTCTATCAAATAGGAAATAAGCTTCTGGGGAACACCTGGGTGAATTACAGTATTGGAATGGGTATTTTTTTGTTTTTGTTTAAAGGGGTCAAGTATTAAAGAGGCTAGCCTCGCCATGGCTCGGGAAGGAAGATATTGACTTTAAAGGGTGGCAGGCCAAGATCTGGGGAACTAAAAGCTGGGTGGGGCACATTGAATGTGGCAGCTCTTGAGACTGGGGTGAGAGTCTTTTTAGGAGAGTGGATGGAAGGGGGCAAACTACAGTAAAGTTAGTATTTGGATACTTGGAACTGTTATAATGCGTCCTAGGTGCTCAGTTGGCTATTTCTCTTCTGTTTATATACTTTTAAAAAATCTTTTTATTTTGAAATAATTTGAAACTTCAAGTACTTCAGTATACTCTTTACCTGAATGTATAATTTTCATAAATTTTCTTTATCATTATATATGTACTATAACCTATCTTTTTCAGAACCATTGGAGAGTCATAAACAATATGACTCTTTATCTCTTAATATTATAGTGTATATTTCCCAAGAACATTATCTTAGCCATGATATAATGATCAAATTCAGGAAATTTAACATGACACTATACTTTCGTCTGAAGTCTATATTCTGAAGTTGTGGATTGTCCCAACAATGCATTTTTTTCCCCTTCTAGTATGAGACTCTAGTCCCAGATCATGTATTACATTTTGTTGTCATGTCTTTTTGTCTCCTTTATTCTAAGATAATTCCAAGACTTCCCTGGTGGTCCAGTAGTTAAGACTCTGAGCTTCTTAACAAAGAAGTTTGATTCCTGGCTGGAGAACTAAGATCCCACATGCTGTGTGACATGGCCAAAGACTGAATTAATTAATTAATTAAAATAGTTCCTCAGCCTTTCTTTGTCGTTAGCTTTGACATTTTATCAAAATACAGGCCAGTTGTATTATAGAATGTTCATCAACTTGTTTTTTCCTGCTGCTTCCTCATAGCTGAATTCAGGTTATGCATTCTAAGCTGTAATATGATTTGCCATGTGTATCCTTTTCAGAGAAGCACATCACAAGGTCTATAATGTCCATCTGCTCCTTATTGGTGATGTAATTTTCATCAAGGTGAAAAGTGGTCAAGGTGGTATCTGGTTTCTCCATGGCATAGTTACTGTTATTCCCTTTGCAACTAATAATCTGAGGAGACATTCTGAGATTTTGCAAATATCCTGTTCCTCTTCATATTTTCCCCACCTAGACTTAGCATCCTCTCATAAATCTTGCCAAGCCAACTTTTAGTATAATGGTGGCCAAATGGTAGTTTTGTAACTCCAACACTCCCTCCACTTTTACAATTTGGGATTTGTATGGGACTATAAAGAAGAGCCCTCCCTTCTCCTTACTCATTTAGTCGTCTATATTTTTTCAACATGGACCCTTGTTTTATTCAGTAATTTCTAATCCATTTCTATCTTTACTTATTTTTTAATGCTCAAATTGTCCAAGTTTGACCATAGAGAGCTCCTTTTATCTGGCTCCCATGTCCTTTAGACATGTCTTAAAACAAAAACAAAAACACATAGCTTTTGTTTCTGGCACAGCAAAAACCTTGTCCCTTCTCTGCTCAGTCTTGCAATCTGCAAGGAGCCCTGATTCCTTTTAGTGGAGGGCAGCATTTAGAAACCACAACATAGGCACAGGTGTGTTCATTGATACTGGATATATTCATGTACTCTTAAAATGTATATTGACATCCTTGGGAGCTCCTAACCCATCTTAACTGTGCTAAGGGAAACAAAGGACCAGAGCTTTAAAGGGGGGAGTGATGTACCCCTGGGAGCGGGCATGGGAACAGCAGAGAGAATGGATTGATAACCTAGGATGGTAGTGGGTGAGGTGAGGTACAGAGTTGGGGTGCTTACTTTATCTCTTTCTTTTCTTTTTGCGTTTTTAAAAAATAAATTTATCTATTTGGCTGCACCAGGTCTTATTTGCAGCATTCAGGATCTTTAGCTGTGGCATATGGGATCTAGTTCTCCAAGCAGGGATTGAACCTAGGCCCTCTGCATTGGGAGCACAGAGTCTTAGCCACCAGACCACCAGGGAAGACCTCTTGCATTTTTTAAATCTTTAAAAAATTTTTTTAAAAATTAGAGTATAATTGCTTTACAATGTTGTGTTAGTTTTTGCTGTATAACAATGTGAATCAGCTATATGTATACATATATTCCCTCTCTCTTGAGCCTCCCTCCCATTCCCCACCTCTCACCATGATTCATCTCTTTTTTAGAGAGGTTTTTTTTTTTTTTTTTTTTTAAAGTTAAGTGAAGAACCTTGCCGATTGGGTTTTGTATAAAGTGGCAAATTCTCTTACAGACCCTGGTTTAGCATTAGCAGTACAAGTGTTATAGAATTTTCTGTCTTAGAGTTGAGAGGCCAGCACAGGAACTCATCTGGTACAACCTCCATCTGTAGGTGGATTTTTAAAACCCTTATTTTACAAATAAGGCAGCTGAGGCTGAGCAAAGCTCAGATTCTTAACAAGGTCATGAAAGTGTCTCTTAAGCAGAGGATGTATTTTGCTCTAAAGAGGAATATCATTTGTTTGTATAAGCCACCATCTCTTTAATTTTATCCCCCCAATGCAATAGTTCTGTACTTTCTTTAGTTCTTGAGATCCAGTTTCTGCCTGTTAGAAGATTCTGGTAGTCTGATGGCCTAGTTTTGAAAATTTCCTGAAGTTCATTTTTAGCAAATTCTCTGGTGCCAACATAATGAGCTTGCACATTTCCTTAGTTTGTAACATGTTATTTTTAGCTCTTTCTTATTACCATATACATTTTAAAGTTGGCTCAGAGGTTTAAGTGTTTTTACTGTCAACTGGAGGTGTCGTGGTGCTGTTCCCTTCTGCTACATACTGTCACACATCAATGCTGAGACAGGGCCATGTCCTGAGTGGAATTTTGATTACAATGGAAGCTTTGATTACTACAAAGCTCCAGTAATCAAGACAATGTGGGCTACAGGATAGACATGCAGGTCAATGGAATAGA